TATTCTGAGTTTTAGTTTCCTCATCTACAAAAATGGATGCTCATGGTACCTAGCTAATAGAGGTAGTGTAGGATTAAGTGAGGTGATACATGAAAAATAGTTACACAGAATTCTTGGCACAAAGTTAGCACTTAATAATTTTTTTTTTTTACTTCCTAAAATTACCACACACTAAAATTTGTTTTGGCATTCAGTTTTGTTATTTTCACACATGTGGATTTGTGTGACTAGCACCCAAAGCAGGTCATGCAAATTGATCCATCACCCAAAATACCCCTTGTGTCATTCCTTTATAGTCAAATTCTCCCCTGACCCCTAACTGGGAGTGTTGATCTATATTCTCCATCATTAAAGTCGTGTCCTGGGCTGGGGATTTAGCTGAGTAGCACAGCGCCTGCCTGGCAAGCACAAGGTCGTGAGTTTGATTCCCAGTACCGGAAAAAAAAAATAAAGTCGTGTCTTATCTAAATGTAAATGGAACTATACATACTTATGTCACTGTGTATGACTAGCTCCTTTTAGCATATTTTCAGTTGTGTCTAAATTAATGCATTTATCAACAGTTTGTTCCTTTTAATTGCTAAGCATTGTTTCATCATATGGATGTACTATTGTTTGCTTGTTCAATCACCATTATTTCTAGTAATTATTTTTATAAGCCAAGGAAGGCTGCAGAAGTGGAACCAGCCACCCTGCATTACTGGACTCTAAGACTCCTTGGGAAGTGTCTGCTGACTGCTGGAATGTCCTGACCCAAAGTTACCAAAGGACCCAGAAATCCAGCTATTCCTCATACTTGACAGCTGAGGGACTGAAGCCCAGAGAGCGATTAATCAACACAAAACTGAACTTGAAAGCTGGTCTCACTTCTCTTCCTCTCCATAAGACACATGTAGTAAACCCTGAGAGGAGGTGCTAGTAACTCTAAGGGCTACCTGCATGCCGTTCTTTGGACAGTCAGCACAGTTCTAGAACTATGCATCCCTGCCTGCTTCCTTGCAGTTGTCCCTTCCACCACCTGTCCTTGGAAAGAATAAATCTCAGGAAGCTTGAGACCACAGACTCATTTCCTTCCTACATGGTTCACGTCATGCTGAATGAACAGGAAGTGATAATGAGCGGTGAGTTCCAGTGAATTCCTACCTTTGATGGATAACAGCATTTCAGCAATCATTAACAGCTCCCACTGCAGTCTTATCCAAAGCCAAGCTAACCACCCAGCTGGTCATTGACCACTTTAAACCAGCTTATCCACAGCACCACGAAACTCTGAATCACCCTCCCTGGGGCTTTAGAATTCCTGTCCTCAACTGGCCCCAGATACAACTCTCGTTCCACATCATTTTCTCCAGAGAAAGCTCAGAGCCAAGGGGGATGTCACAAGTCAACTCTAGACTAGAAGACATTTTCCTGGCATCACAGGCCTCCCATGACGCAGTGGGTCAGACTGGCGCCCCCAGATGTCATTGATGGGGTCTGGGATGGGCTCAAAAGCACGAGCCCAAGAGGCCATGCACTCCAATTCTGGCAAGGCCCCCACAGGCCACCACATCCAGGCCTCCCCTAATGAACACTCCGGCTCCCTGGACAGAAAGTAGTTCCACTCCTATAGCTCTCTCGTGACATTTTATCTAGAGCCTGAGCATATGAGGAATACATGTGTGAAAACATAAAACTGATATTCATAATTACTCCAGGATAAAGAACTTGATGAAAAAACAACTTTTGTGTGCCTTGCTGTCACCATCAGGGGTACACTGTGAAAAACACGGCATCTCGCCAGAACCCCAGACTTCATCTCCCCAGTGAGCTCTGGTGCTGCCAGCCGCAGCCCCCGCAAGCTGCTCCACGCTTCCTTACTTCTTAATTAGTGGTGTCTTCAGGCGTCTACTCATCCCAGGACATGAGGCCTCTGGAGCCAACTGTGGCCTCTGACCTTCTCATCTCCTATGCCCAGTCAGGCGCCATATCAGCCAGCAGGCAGTCAAGTGTCAGTGGGTGGGGGCTGGGCCTCCGAAGGTTAGTCTGATTGTGACACTTTGTCTCCGTTCCTTTCCCATAAGTCCTCATAGGGCCCAGGGTCTCACTTCCTTACCCATTCTCTCTCCTTCTTTAGCAAGGTACCACTTAGGTACAATAAAGCACACCAACTCTGTAAGTATGGCTCAGGGTATAAGCGTATACACACTCATACAAACCATCATCAGTCGAAGATGCAGCTGTACTCCCAGCACCCAAAGAACTTCCTCATGGCCCTCCTACAAAATATCTTCTACATAACATGACCAAATCATGACCTCCGTTACCAGAGATTCATCTGGAGCTCAGGCTTTTGCTACTTCTTCCCTAAGATACTGCTCATTTTATTTAAAAAAAATTTATTGTACCTATTTAAGATATACAACATGGTATTATGAGATACATATATTCAGTGAAAGGTTACTACAATGAAGCAAATTAATTATCCCTCATCTCACATAGTTGCCCTTTGTTTTTTGTTTGTTTGTTTTTGTGCAGCTAAAATCTACTTATTTGACATAAATCCCATACACGGTCCAACTTTATTTACCTGTAGTCCTTACACTGGACATCAGATATTGAGACATGTTGATCCTACACGTCTGCTACTTTGCAAATTAATTTTTAAATTACTGACTGCCTGCTTCTGGACCCTGCTTCTCCCAGTTTACCTGTCCTATATCACAGCCCCAGGGCCCTTGACACTGCTGCAATGTTTCTGCACACAAATCGGAGCCTCGCCGTGGGCCTTATTCCCTCCCCAGCACAACGCTCCTCAGTCTGAAAGACCCAATCCCTGCTGCGAGCACAACCACAGCTCCCTCCCCCACCCCCCCCGGCCTTTGTTTGCACAGAATGTGCCCATGTCTCCCTGTCCTGGGGCTCCATGCCCTATTTCTACTTCGCAGAACCATGCCTATCCTTCAAAGCACAACTCACCAAAAACAACAACAAAAATCCTTCTCACAAACTACCCACATGGGTGTTGCTATTTCTCAGGTGGCTCCAGAGAATGACTCCTACTTCTTGAATGGCACTAGACACTCTTCTTGACACATAGCTTTCTCTGCATCCGCATGCATCCTTGTATCCTTGCTGGATACTCAAGATCGTGACACTGAGCTTCTAGAATTCTAGTATTTCTCAAATTGGTAAAACTTTTCTAAAATTTGGAGAAGAAAAATGGATGATCTAGGGCTTCTTATCTGGCCAGATGAAGGGGGTAATTCCATCAACACCATTTCATTAACCTAAACACACCAGAGCTAAAAATTAAAAAAAAAAAAACAAAACTGGAGAGATATAATCTCAGGATAAAATGGTCAGATGCTCAGTAAATATATTGGTTTATGAAGAAACTCACTATACTTTCCTCATTTTTCACACTTGCTATGCCTGGAGAAAATTTTCATGGATTGACTGGCCTCAGGATCCAGAAACCTCACTGCGCTGTATCCCTCAGCAAAGCAACAGGTATACAGAAAGTGCTCAATAAATGTTTAGTTCAGTTCATCTAGTCACGGGAAATCCTGCTGTTCAGAGGCAAAGAACATTTAGCACGGTTTCCATTCCAACACCCAAACCCAAAACCTTGACCATAGCAATTGGAAGACAATATCCCAACTATAGAAAGGACTGCAGGACATAGCCACCCTCACAGTCCGACTCACCTGTGACAATATCAAACAGCAACCCCAACATGCTACAAGTCAACATGCCAATGTGACTACAAATGACAGACTCTGCCATTGGAACAAATGACCAACTCACTGTCATAAAGCTCAACTTAGTGTACCGCATAGAAACAAAGTTCAAAAGTATGTGTTGCGGCCCCTGTGGATTGGCGGGCAAGAAGAAAGGGCTAAAGTAGTGGGTTATGCAGGGCTCAGGGTGCCCGGCTGGGACAACCAATGAGGCTGAAACCGAACCTGTGCTACACCTGCCAAGCCAGGTGTGCTGGCACGGGGGGCATCCGCCTCAGGAAGAACACCCTTTTCTGATTTGCACAAAGAACTTCAATAATCTAGATAGTGAATTCTAAGCCCAAGAATAAATCAGATCCAGTGTAAACAGAAGGCTGAAATATGTGAATTATATAGCCATAAAACGTACGTACACACAAACACGCACACATGCAATTAAACCCTGTTCGAAGAGCCAACAAGAAAGATAAGGGCATGAAAAAGGGCAGTTAAAATGTTTAAAGGACTAATTTTAAACGCCACTTCTAGTTCAGCACAGTGGCATGTGACTGTAGTCCCAGTTACTTAGGAGGCTGAGGCATAAGGTTGAATCACTTGAATCCAGGAGTTTTAGGCCAGGTTGGGGGAATACAGCAAGAGCCCATCTCTTTAAAAAAAAAGTCACTACTTCTTAAAAGTTATATTACTTATCTAACAATCAAACTGGTTTCCTTATGAATTTCTACCAAATTTCTAGTTTTTAATATTATTTTAAAATAAATGTGACACCCAGCTAACAAAGACTGCTTCTCTTTGACTTAATGTGGCTTTTTCTTATTAGTTCCAAATGGCTTTGTTTTACTTAGCTTTCCATTAAAAGGAGAGAAATTTATAGTGAACAACAGCTGCAGCGTCTATGGTTATAAAAATAAAAATTTCTATACCGTACACATAGCACAAATTCTCTTCTAGTTATTTAGTGATGAGATCCTCTATATTCCTGGGTAAAAACTATAAATAAACTTCATGAAATTATTCTTTCAACAAATATGATGGAGTACCCACCACACCCAAGACCCTGGGCCAATTTTCTTTGCACATTCTCAGCATTGCGTCAGTTTTCAAGCATAACTCAGGTTCTGGAAACATGTCTGCCTGAAATGACTGAATGGTCCCAGCAAGGTATCAAAATGAGTAGTCTCCCGTGCATGTTTTGGTGCCTTCTAGGTTCTTGGCCCCCAGAAGAAAATCTCTACCTGCTCAGCAGAGATTTGTACCAGCTGCCAAGCTGCTTCTTACCTGGATGGTGGTGTTGCCTCCTTCCAGAAGGGCAATGGCCAAGAGAATGCTTTCATGAAACACTCGGTCACTGGTTGCATTCATTATGAGGTCAATAACCAGATTAGAGGCTCCTTCCTTGTCCAGGTGACACTGAACCTCAGCCAGGCTCATCTCACCCCTACTCATGGAGCTGGACCCAGAGCTTCCCCCTAAGGAGAGAGAACATTGTTCTTACTAAGCACAAGGACAGCAGTTAACATTTTTGCATATTCATTGTGCGCCAACACTTTGCGTCCTAAGAAATGCTTTACTTGCTTTACCTCTTTTAACCTTCTCTACAGCCCCACAGGAAAGTACTAATTGTTAACACAGACAAAATTATTGTCCAATGACACGCAGCTTGTAAGTAGCAGAGATGGCACTGAACTCAGGCAGAGAAGATGAAGGATAAATGATATGTTTCCTTCAGATGACCCAAAGCCATGCAGGTAACACTCTACCTTATATTAAAACACAATGACTTGGAATAGAAATATTAAGAACTGTCTCAAAAAACCAGTCAAACTTAAAGAATTCTTACAACACTCCCAAGAAAGCACAGTCTCTAGCCATCACCATAGTCCTCTTTTCTAACAAATGCACACTCACCCCGATTTACCTTTTCACATCTGTCTATCCATTCATTCACCACTGACTCCGTGCTTGGCATGGAGCCAAGAGCTGAGGCTATGCGTGAACAAAGCAAACGAAATCCCATCTTCAGAAAGGTTCAGAGGAGATGAATATGCTTAAGAGATATCCTGTACCATTCAGAGGAATGGACTCTGATCATGTTTGAAAGGCATGTATTTATGTATCTAAGAACATGTCTTGCATTATTATTGGCAGCAATGGAAACATTACAGCACATGGAGAAATAGGCCGATCCATTTTAGAAAGCAGAAAAACGATCTATCAACCTTCCCTGCAGAGCTCAACTCAAATGTCTCCTCCTTGGTGCTGTCTGCCCACGGCTTTGGCCCATTCCACCTGGAGTACAAGGTAGGAATTGAGTTGCACATGTCTGCTACAGCTTCTTAAAGCAAAGTCTCTCCTGATACATTTCCCTCTCATGAAGCCTCCCAAGGGCCTCACATATTTGTTGAATGACCCCACAACACAAAGTAAAGAGAAACAGCTTTGACATGTACGAGGAACTTCCACATGAGAACCACAGGGGACTTTTGAATGTGAAAAGATGAGTTCCTGTTTCTGGGATGCCCTGAGAACTGCACCTTCATAGAAGCCTGCACGGCTCGATGAACTGAGCAGATATGCTTCAAATTTCCATCTGGTGAGAAACCCAAGCTCCTTTCCCAAAAGTTGCTGGGACAAATTTATTAAACACTAAGTACCTTTGTGCTATGCATGGAACTTGCCAAGGATCTGAAGCGCCCAACAATAAGATGCAATCAGACAAGCATTTGCGCTTTGAGCCCTGAGTTGCCCGTTTCCTTGAAAACCCACACTCAGTAAAACCCATCATGCAGTTCAATGTTTTTGCAACTTTTGCCCATAATTATACTTAGGATAATTTGGAGGCAAATTTGACGCCCTGAGTTTGATTTCCAGTACAAAAAAAAAGGTAATTTGGAATACCTTTAAAGATTTGTTTTTAAGCATTACTATATGAAATTCGTCTCTCTTCCTTTGTTAAACTGGGATAGTAACAGTTCCTACCCAAATAACAGGTAACTTGGAAGTTGAGCTAAGATAAAGTGTGAAAAGTGCCTGGGAAAATCCCTTGCACTTAGTAAATACCTAACAAATGGCAGCTTTCAACATCCTGGCTATCAACATCCTCATCACTTTATGGGAAGACACAACTCCTGACGACCACAGGAAATTGTACAATAAAGTCTAGTTCCTTGAATCATTCAAATATCACCAAGAGGGTCACTGCATAGGAAAGAGGGACAAAAGGCTCAGCCAGTGTCTAACTGTAGGGAAATGCTGTTTTGCAGGTCAATACACTTAGACATGAATTTGTTCAAACAAAGTTAAAACAAGTTGCTATACAAAGCACACTTACGACAAATTCATCTAAGTTTCAAGCTATTAAGCAGAAGCATGCAGGATCATGTGACACACTTATTCACACATGAAGTAGATTAGCATAGCACATAGCCTACCTCCTCCCCCAGGCCTGCTGGGTCCTCCAGGTGACAGTGGGCCATTGCCAAAGCTGGTAAGGCTCTCTCTTCTTCCTGAAGGTCTGACGTTTCCATAGTAACGGTTGACCAAAATTTGCCTGAGCGCCTCACCCTTAATTCAAACAGGATAATGAAATCAGGTTCTGAATTTAATGCATAACTGAGCGACTAATATTAAAAAAAAACCCACAGGAGTACTAACATATAATCGGCCAATTTTCACTCAGTGAAAAAATAAATGATTAATATGAACATTTGAAAACTCTGAAGTTGGCTTCAATATTTTCTCAGCAAACCAGATCATGTTTTTAAAAATACTGCCCATGTAGAATAGTAAGTATATGAAGTAGCCACTCACACACTTATAAACATAGAAAAGTAATTCTGATGGGCAACTAACAATAACAACAACAAAAGATCCTTTGAGTTAAGCTAATGAAATGGGGACATACTGAAAATTTTACAGGTTAGATTTATCATGGCAATATAAAACCAACTGCAAGCATAGAATCTGTTCCTCAGGCCCCAAGAAAATATTAAGATGTGAGGGTAAGAGGGTATAATCCGACATAATGCTGTAATAAGCCATCAGTAAGTCTTCTTACCAAGATAGTCAGTGGGCCAAATGGTGAGGATGAACATGTGACAGGACACAAATTAGCGGCAGATATAACATATGTCAATCAAAACAAGCATCACAGACAAAATGAAATGTTTAGAATTTGATTTAAAATAATAAGGAGCAGGAGGAGTAGGGAGGACTATAAATAAGGTCAGAAGGAGTAGGGATAGTTGGTAAAGCTGCATTATGAACAGGGGCTATCAAAACTCTTCTGACTCCTTTTCCATTATAGAAGTCTTAAGAATATAAACATCAAAGGAGTATTGGACAAGGGATATAACAACTCTCATAACTCTAGCCAAAAAAATTGATTTTTTCTCACTAGTCCTGGGGTGCATCTGCAAGCCAGCACACAAAAGCCAGATCTATTCTCAGCTCTACCACATTTACAGTCATGCTCCTAAGGGACTCCCAGACCACCTCCTAATCTGTAAATTTCCAAGTCAGAGGCTTTATATTTATGCACTGTTTTCCAGGGACATAGCAGGAAGACATAGAGATCTGCTGTATCCACAAGAGAGGTTAAGTGCGAAGCCTAGCAGAGAGAGGGGCTAGAATTTGGCAGGTCTCTAAAATGGAGACTCAAGAGTTCTTCCGAAGGGACTGTAATTTTAACATGATTCCGTAGAATTTCAAGTGATTTTTTTAATAAGCTCTGAGAATCAGTCTGAAGATTTCAAGTGAGGTGTTTGCAAAACAAATCAGGAGGGTGCAGACAGGAGGTGGAGGCATCCCAAGGGAGGCAGGAGACCCAAGAAAGAGGGAGAAAATCAAAATATGTGGATGCTGTCCACAGTTGAAATCATGTAAAGATCTGGGGCTATCCTGCCAAATTTGTCTCCTTTGCATCCTTCGATGCCAGTCTAAGACGTCACAGGAACAAAATGGAATGGGCCAACAGGTGAGAGAGGAAGGTGACAGAAGGAGGGAGTACTGATTTTTAAATAAATGTGCAGGAAATTAATGAGATCCGAATTTTCTCTTCTCCATTCTACCCACATTGTATCTTCCTTCTGTCAGTTTATGAAACTCATTTCCCACCTGGACTGACTATAAATTCAAAATTATAAGGACGCTTCCACTGAGAAAGTTACACTTAATGCTTTAAGCACTTTTAAAATGAACTTCTTGCCAGTGAGAAAAAGTTTCAAAAAATGCCCTTTCTGTATAAAGATACAGCTTCAGTAGTGTTCCACTCTCAGGTACCAGAACATCAACATTTCTTCAAAGCAGTCACTGAGAAATTGGGAATTTAAAATGCTGACTTCATTAGAGAAATACAAATTTTAAAGGAAGATTAGTAAGAAATGGGGAGAGAGGTTACCTCCACGTTATGTAACAGGTTAAACATGATTGCCCTTTTAACATCTCATGACTCATCTACTGAACTTACTCTGGGTGAGAGTAAGTTACAGCAACAGGGATGGGTGGCAGCAATCCTTCCTAAGTCTCTAACTGGATCCCCTTTGACACCATGAGAAAACTGTTTGACAGCTGCGTTGAGACCTGTGATCCACAGCCACACTGGGGACGCTCATGTCCCCATCCAGACAAGAGCATGTGAGACCACAGGGATGAAGGGTCAAGTCAAAGGAGGTCTGATGGGGATCGGCCAGCAAAGACCCATCCCTGGGCCTTCACACTGTAATACCATTTAGGGCCAGAGTAACTCAACTAGATTTTCACTCCTGGTGGTTGTTTTTCTTTTCCTTCCTTGAGGTTTTAAAGGGAAAGAGCAAGACTTTTTTCAGTTTGCAATCCAACCAGCAGGAGATAAAGGAGCAGGAGGACTTCAGTAAGAAGTCCACATTGATGCGGCCTGGATGCCAAACTGAAAATACAGAGGGATCACACATTACCATTCTGCTTCTCTCTCAACAGAAAAGCCCTGCAGTTTCTATAGCAACTGATGCTTCAAATGGTACATTTTCTCCCATAAGAATGATCACAAAATGTGCTCATTATGGGAAGAAAAGGGGGAACCCCCCAACACACACACACACACTCTATCCTACAAACTGTATTCCCCTCTTAAATGTAAGGTTTGGGGCACACATTTATCTCACCATCTCTGCACATATATTTAACAAATGGCGGGGGGGGGGGACTAGAGCAAGTGGGACTTGTTTGTTTTACCTTAAATAACAAATGAGATTTTTTTTAAAGTATAAAGATTAAGGGCTTAGGTAGAAGAGGACTGGAAGAGAAAATGGATAAGCATTATTAAAAGTTATGCAAATACTAGTGTGAAAATTTAGGTTCTATGAAAATTCTGTTACTTTGAGCCATTGGTTTAATTTAGGAAAAATTAAAATCTGCAGACAAAAGCCTTCCCAATCATGACATAAATTACTCAGTAGCACAGTGCTGTTCATGATGTTTCAGGCTAAGAAATCTGATTGCTGAGAAGAGGGAAAAACACTTCTCAAATGGCATCACTGCATTAGCACTGGCTGTGTGACCATTTTTTAAAAATAATGCCAGTTTTTTCCCCAGAAGTTTACACCTACAGCGTGCAAACAGATATCAGATGTTTGCCTCTGGTATTAACATTCCTCACATTACCTAACTTTGAGAAAAGAAAGTCAAAGAAAGTTTCATTGGCAATGTCATGTAAAAACAGTGACAACTGGTAGACCAGTGACATGGAATAATGACAGCAAGTTCCCACTCTGCCCTTCCACTAAGTTTCATTTATATCAAGTAAACTAGTGGCTAATGTGCTGCGTGGGGATACAGCCATATGCTGAACAAGACACGAAGGAGTTAACAGTGCCTCAGAACAACAGTAGGGTAGGGACTTTGGTTTCCCAGGTTTCAGCTACTTAAAGATCATGTGCTTCAAGCAAGATCATCCTCTCACATGAGCAGTGAGTCTCTCACACCTTAGTCAGCACTAAGGTAGCAGCTGGATTTAAAAATACCTTTCTTTTCCTACTCCTATTATCTATAAAATCATTTGGGCATTTCAAACTGCAAGGTGACTACAATACAGTGTCACAATCCTTTAACTGGATTTGAGCAATTATGCTCAGTACTTTATGTGATCATCCAGCATAACTGTCCTAAGGGAAAGAAACAAATATCTCCATTTTATAGCAGAAGAAAGTGAGGCATAGGGAGATTCAATAATCTGCCCTAGATCACACAGATGGTACTGTTTCTAACACCACCATTTTTCAACACCGAGTCCCTGAGAGCTCCGTTCATGAGGGACAGGTGTGTGCCTTTGCCAGCTACTTCTAACACCTGGCACAGGTCTTCAGGGTGGGAAAGGATGGAAAAGACAAGGACGCAGGGTGTCTTTGCTACAGGAGATACAGGAGTGAACTACAGGAGTGCAGGATGCTGCAGGGGAAGGGCTACAGTTCTGTGCTTTGAATTTTGTCCAAACCCAAATTCTCTAGTCATACATAGAGCCATGAAAATCATAAAGTTTATTTCTCTATCAAAGCAAGACAACAGAAAGGATCTGAAATGTGCTGGACTGGGTGAGGGCTGGGGTGTGTGAGCAGAAGAAAGGTGCACCAGGCAACCCACTTATCTCAGGCATAAATTCTCCAGGATATAGAGGACTATAGCTCCAAGGTAATCCTCACAATGACCGTTTTCTACCCCCATGACCTCAGACAAGATGTCTAACCTTTCTGAGTCTCAATTTTCTAGTCTGTGAAATGGGGCTGCAGTTCATATCATTTGGTCAATGTAAGCATTAATAAAAATGGATGAGTAAACATATGTAAAAGACTTAGCACAGTACCAGCATATGACCAGCTCTCAGAAAACCAGGATATTTGGTTATCTTCCCCAAATAGGTAAATCAAGGCTGATCATGTATATTCATGTAACCTTCTAGAACGTGGTTTGGCAAGGCATGACAAGCACAGTAAGACTGTATCTACCCATTAGCCTAGGAATTCCCCTTCTAGGAATCGATTCGAAGAGGCACACATTTGTTCACTTCCTTGTGAAAGGAAAAACTTACACACCTCGTGTTCATCTGGGGAACTTTAAACAGCAGTAACCTTCCAGAGACTTTCAAAGACAGAAAAGAAAGGGCTCACGTACAACATTAAATCACAAAAGCAGGGCACAAAATGTGTGCATTTAAAATAATCCCAATGACAATGGGATTATCCCAGGGTTTATGGGGACACATGCTGAAGGAAATATGAAAACACTAGCAGCTTCTATAGCTGGGCAGTATAATTAAGAACTGCTTTCATTATACTTTTGTGTTTACTCTAAGTTATCTATAACAATCATCAGCTATTACAGAAAAAAAGTTTTTTAGACTCCACCTTAAGTAGAAAGCCACCACAGGAAACAGCAGGACATGAAAAGCTTACTTAGTCATTATTTGGGGCCTGGCTGGGAACTCTGCTCTGATCAGGTAGAAAATAGGGAGAGCTGCCAGTCAGTTTCACTTATATAAAAGACTGTGATTGGTCCTAAGCCAATAAATGTTTTAACAGTATCAATGACAACACAACCTGTCTTTACATCACAGTCTGCGGCCATGGGGGGAGTTTGATCATTAGCTCTGGACACACAAGACTCAAGGTTACATACCCTTTTATGGTCTTCCAGTTGCCTCAGGGGTGGACTTGGTTCAAGTTCCTGCTAAGCATGCAGAAATTCCATTTTAAGTTTGACAATTAGGAGATACTACCATTCTTCAGCATCAGTCATAGATGAAATACATCTCAAGCTCGTGTTCAACCAAGCTTACACCACAGAATAGGCCTGTTTGAGGTTGCCTCCCACCCCCGCCAACAATGCTTCACCACATTAGACTCTGCTGAATAACTGTCAGAAACCTCCAACCCCATTGTACTTAAAATGAACAGGTGTTTGATTTGCTGGCCAACACTATTTTTTGCAAAGATTATGAAACAAACATTCTATATTATATTAACTCTGAAGGGATGTAAAACAAGACTCAACCAGGCAGTTCCTTATGATTTGCACATGCATTATTGCACAGCACATGCCAAAATGACATCAGTGCACACTTCTACACAGACACATACAGACCACAGCTCTTCCCAGTCCACCAGGACACAGGCATTCTAATCAAAACTGTTAGTGCAGAGCTCTGATTAGGAGGAGACAGGCTGATCATCAGAAAACATCCACACTGCACCTTAGCTATTCCATCATTTGTGTTTCATTTTTAAGACCTTCAATAGACTTCTTTCAAATAAAGTGCATTTCATTTTAGCTTGAACTCGTGCAATTTTAGAACAGTTTCGCAAATTAAGTTTTAATGCCTCCCCTTGAAAGCGTTTCCTTGCTGTTACAAACATTAAAAAATTCCAGTGCCTCATTTAGTGAGCGTAGCTGGTGGCAGGAAGGAGAAAAAGAGTGTGTTGTGAAACTACAACTTACTTATTAGCAGTTTCTGCTATAAATTAAGATCTGGAATTTCAAAACTTTATCATCTTTGCATAGGAGCCAAAGTCAGTTCTGTATACTAGACAGGTCTCAACAATCCAACATTTCTCAGAGGACAGCTCAAGCCTGAGAAAGTTGTATATGAAGACTTTCCAAGAGCCACAGCCCCTCACCTGGAGGACGCTCGGGTTAGCTGCATTTCCTGAGGACTTCCCTTCTACACCGAGAGACACGTCTACTATAGCAATGATCAGTTTCCAGCCGGCTTGAGACCTCCCTCCCACACCTCCCACTAGGACAGACATCTTGTCACAACGATGCAGACACTCAATCAGAACAACTTAATTACCCATATTTGCTCCCACAGCAAATATAGGTGAGTGACACACCTCTGTGGAGTTCTCGGATTCCGGAGTTTGTGGCAGCTAGTTGGGAGTAAAATGAGGCACATTAGTTACAGCACTTGCGTTTCGCAGGCCACAGAGAATTCCAGAGACCAACAGTCAAGGACAAAACATGAAAGGAAAGATCAAAGGGGAGGAGTGCTCATTGTATCATGGTAGTGACTAAGGTGACCAGACACTTGCTCTTTTAAATTACACTGAATGCAATTGTGCTTGAAGAAATAACTGGCCTGAGATAGGGGAAATGCGTTTAAAATGAAATGGGGGGAGGGTTTGTCCAACCACTAACCAAGAAGGAACTATCCCCTTACAAGGCCTTGAAAGAAGAACCACTGCATCTGGGTGTTGTGTTGAACTAACGAAAGGAGGAAAGTGACACTGTGCCCAATGACAGAGGCTCAGCATGGGCAGAAGGAGCGGATGCCTGCGGGGCACAAAGCTTGCAAAAGCTCCAAAGCACCACTTTCCTGGGACAAGTGCATTTTGAGCACTGTCCGTTCTCTTGTCTCTCTTTTCCACATCATGTCCTGCAGCAGACGGTCTTGGCTCAGACTTACAGGATGGAATCTCGCCCTCCCAGAGTCTCTGGGAAAAGGGAGCGTCCAGGATTAAGGGCTAGGCTGTGAATGACTGTTGCACCCATGTGCTTCCCTCTAGGGCTTCCTGGACTCAGCTCTTTGGCCCCACTCCTATCACACCACGTAGACGACACTCTCCAGCACCTCTTCCTTGTTTACAAACTTTTTCATCCACAAAGGAGAGACAAAAAGATGTGGCCAAAGGACATGCAAGTGAAATGTGACGGTGTGTGTGGTGGCTGAGAGAGGGTGTGGCTGGATAAAAGTCCACAGTTCCATGTGAAGACAGTGCCACGAATCTGTCCAAAGGACACGTGCTTAGAGCAGATAACCGACGTCAGATGTATTGCCAGATCCTGCGTAGGCTGCCCTGGGCCTAAGTCATGCCCAGGTGGCATGGCTGACTGCTGCAAGGTGCAATCTAGGGCCACGGAATAAAGCCAAGGCTCACGCTATAACTGTGTAACCTTGGGCTCCATCAGCAGCACACCCCTCCAGGGGCCAGAAGGTAGTTCTCGGAGTAGGTGCTGAAGGCATGGGAGGTCTGAAACTGTTAAATCTGGTGGTGTCTCAATCCAGCTCAATGCAACCAATTCAGTAGTTTGACCCCAAGATGGAAAAAATCCTCCTAACATATAAAGCTGCTGTCATATAACTAATAATTTCTGTCTTTTTTAATTTCCTGAAAGGTAAAATGAAATAAAAACATACGGGTTAAACTACTCCACCAAAGGCAATGAGGCATACGGTAGGTTGATCACTCAGTTCTGGACAGAAGACTTTCATACAAAAGTCCAGCTCAAGGAGAATGCGCTGGTGGTACACTGGTGAGCAAAGCTGCCTTTAGCTTAAGGAGAACACCTCCTTCCAAAGCATCCAGCCTCCCATGGAGGGAGGCACAGAATGGTTCAAAGGTCTCAAGTATGGCAAAGAAAATAGAGCTCAGATATCTGCACTTTCAAAATTATATAAACAATAACATGATCCAAGAATGCAATTTAACTCTACTCTTACATTCTACGTGTTTTAGGCTGGTACATTAAAACTGTATACACTGGCTTTCGGCCCTCAGTGCAAAAAGGGATGCATTTTTAAAAAGCAGAATTACAGCAACTGCTCATGTATTTTAGAGCGGTCAGAGACACAAATGGATACCAAGTTTTACCTTCTGCCATCTGCATCAGACACATTTCCACTAACTTTAGGTTCGTCTTACATGACTAGAACAAAGGATAATAGGCAGGAACTTCCTGCAGGAATCCACAGAGATGCCCTCTTAGTCCCTTGCCAATAGAAACCAAAGCTAAAGGAATACGGAACCAGAAATGACATCTTTTTATATTTCTCTTAATTCTTTTCTTGTCTGGGTTCTCTGTGTCCAAGAAGCATCTTGAATACTTTTGCAATTACCATAGGTAGCGTATTATGCTTCTCAATTATTCTAGGAACAGAGATTTGCATTACCATATATTTTCACCCCTGGTGACATTTCTCCCTAAACAACTATTGTGCTTATTTCAAAATCAGTTTGATTTTTAAAACAAACATTGAACTTAAACTAGTTAAACTAATTAACTGTGTGTGTGTTTTTTTCTCCTTTGAAAAGCCCGTGAAGCTGTTTGAGACAGCAGAGGGTGCTTTGCAGCCTCAGGAACCGTCAACTGCCCAGAAAGACAATTTGTAATGAGACGCGTTTGTGAAACAGAATGGAGAAGCCAAGAGCACAGACTGGCGTCATATGACAGTGGCTCATCCAGGTTTTGGCCCTGGATACTTGCATGACCTTGGGACATCACTGAACATCTTTGGAGTCCTACCCTTTCACCTGGGCAAGGACACGGGAACAGATATTCTTTTGGAATCCTTCTAACTAAAATATTGAGTATCTCTTGGTATATTTTCAGTAAGCATCACTTCATAAAACCTAACAGGCAAATTCTCTAAGTAATATAACCCATTAGTATATACAGCTTCCGGGCATGGGAAAGATCAGAGTAAACATGGTACATAAGTTGGTAAAATAAACTATACCAGCACTTTCTCCAGTGAGGATTTTGGTCACAGTTCTTTGAGGATAAAGTGATTTTTATGGCAGTAAGCTTTAATTTTGATAAATACAATCATATTAATAAGCTATGTATAGTCAAAGGAGACAATAGCTACATAAATACAATCTATAATACCCCAGGTAAAAGATAATGCTTGAAAAATGAATTACTTTGCTTTCTTTCAGTACATCCAGTACCCAATAATTTATCAAAGGATGCATTTCTCCTATCAATGAAGAAAATTATACTTGGTAATTCTTGAATGAAAATAAGCTCACAGACCAGGGTTATTATTTCTGTGTTTACAAAACAGCATCCTGTCCATCACCCTGAACACCAAGTGTTATAAAACACCTGTCCACCCTCCCATCCCACCCATCATTCTCAGTACGTCTGTCACAGACCATTAGAGGGCACAGCCTCTAAATCCCCGCTGCTTTCTGCTGCCCTCAGCAGGCATCCCTCTCTGACCCCTGGGCAGATGCAATATCTGTTTAAGTAGAGTGTCTCTGCATGGACTATTTTAGCAGAAGTGGAGCACAAATCAAGAAACGTAACTGTTATGACAGAGCTAGGTATCAGCACATCAAAGGGAACTTATGATCTCCAACCTTCTGAATCAGTCTTCAGTTCCTCTTTACCCACCACAACCTCAGAGGAAGGAAACAAACAACAGCAAATGGGTTTGCAAACAAGCTTGCTGGGCCCCAGCCTTCATCAGCTTTTGCAAACCCTTCATTAACAGAACAGAAAGCTTTACAGAAGATCAAACCAAAATAGAATTATCTAGCATTTAGAACAATTTAAATCTTCACATCTGCTAACACAATTCTCTTTAACTATATTTGCTTTTAGGGACAAAAACAATACAAATTGCCTTGTTCCAACAAAGTAGTTTTACCTATATCTTATAGAACAAGTTCATGAGAACTTAATAGCATAGTTCATTATTTTAAAAGCACATTCTGATTTGACTAAATGATACCAGTTCAGTCATTATGGAATAATCTCAGCATCAAAAGAAAAACAAAACAAACAAAACAAGCCTTTCACACACTATGCAATAGCTTCTGTACACTCTGAGTCGAGCTCCCTCTGTGGTTGCCAGTGTCTAACAGTAAACAGCCTGCTGCATTTATTGGCAATCACTGCTGAAGGTCACACATCAGCAGTGAGCCTAAATTCCAGGAAAAAAAAGAAGCTCTTATGTAACTGCCGCCCGGGTGTTGGCAGGTGCCCAATTCGGCGGTTCACAGCAATGTAAAAAAGTGGGACACCTCACCCAGGGCTGGACGTCATGAGAACGCCCCCTGAAGGTGAAATTCAACAGTTCTCATGGTTCTCTGTTTTTCTTTTCTCCCCCTGAATTTTACCAAGTTCCCTGTCAGCGGCATCCTTCGCTTACAGAAGTTGCTGGAGGTGGGAGAAGCTGAAGGCTCCGTGAGAGCGGGCAGCAGCCACCCCGGGTAAGTGGAAATGTCAGTCTGGCTTTCTGTCACAAAGCAGTAAGGCAAAGCTGTTAGCTGTCCCCAGAGGCTCCGAGTGACAGTAATTCAATGGAGCTGGTATCTTAAATGCACAGAAACGGATGCACACACTGAGCTACTTTGAAACACATCATTCCTGTCCAAGGACACACAGGTCAAAGCTAGGTGGGCCACCGTGCCACTCACTACCTGTGCCTAAAGTCCAAGCGCTTCATCACAATCATCACTTGATCAGCGTGACACTTCATAATTTAGAAAAGTGACCTGTGTAATCATCTTTTGAGCTACTCTCCTATTCCTACCTGACCTCAGGAGCTACCGTCTATCCTGTTTATGTAAGAAGTCCCCAGATCCTATGTTCGCATGATTCCGTGTACTTTTCCTTTCTAACATTTTCCATGACTGACAGCTATCACTTTATATTCGTTTTTATTACTGTTTGTCTCTCCATCAATACCTTAAGCTCCAGCAGGGCCGATTCTATGTCTACCTGAGATACCAATCCCCTAGCATTGTGCCTCAAATGTAACAACAATCAAAAATGAGTTGCAGAAATGTCTTTACCGTAAGCTGGTGTCCGTTAAAAGCCAGGAATGTGCAGATACGGGAACTTGACGGAGGGACAGAAACATTGTGTATCTTGATTTCAGGATGGCCACTCGGGCATACACAGATGTAAGGATCTGTCAAGCTTTAAGTGTGAGAAGGGCTGAGGGGACACCAATGCAAGGAGTTCCCTTTTCTCCACCCACTCCACCTGGCTCCCACACTGCCAATGAGAAAGATCTAACTGGGGTAAGGTTGGGAACCCTGCTTCTTTACTTGCGAAGAAACAAAAACAAAAGCCCCTCCTATTCTTGGTATCAATGAAATTTTATTCTACAAGACAGCTGGGAGGGCCCGTACCACGCACGTCTCCTGCAGGCAGTCAGCGCCTCTGTCCTCGTTTCACCCTGGTTTCTCAAAGTCCTGACAGGGATGCAGTAGTCATGAGCCTTTCTCCAAGTCCCTCCCTGCACACCTCTCCTGACCTGCCCATCTGGCCTTTATACACGAAGGCCAGGGGCCCTTCCTCCGGCAGGGGTGACTGGCACAAGACCTGTCTCAGGGGCTTTACCCAGCCATGCTCCGGATTTGCAATGCGAACCTGCAACTTAGGTGTGAGGACTGCCCGGCCCCTGGGCCAGCATGAGCTCTCATTAAACCTCTGCAGAAGTGTAGCTGTGGGCTGCAGGCTTCCACCAGCACACACTGACTAAGGGCTTGGTAGGGGTAAACCACAGGAGCTGTGGTAGTTTCCAGAACTGCATCCACGATGAAGACCTATCAGTCATCTCTGCTTAGAGGGCCGAATCCAATAGCCTGAGGGACTGGGGATAGGGTGTTAGTGTCCCAGGGTTCTGACGGTTGCCAGGGGTAACAACGCAGAGGAGATTCACAGTTGCTTCCTCAGGGAATTTTCAAAGAATCCAAGTGCCTGCCAGAACATTCTTCTTTTATAAACAGACAGTATTCTATTTCCTAGACTATAATTATAAACACACCTGCTCCAACTGTGGAATCTTTCCATAAGCAAGCAATAAACTCCCAGCCAGGAAAACCAAGTTGTATCTTGAGTAAGCAAACACATCAACTGATTACTATGGTACAAAACAGTGTATTAATAACACTGCAGACTGTGATTAGAAAGGTTTTCCTTTCCTTACTTAATTTGTACTTAAGCAAATAGAAGCACAACCTCAATAGTTCAGAGGGAAAATTTAAATCAGTGAGGCATTTACAACTGTAGGTACGAACAAGGATACTGAAGGGTTCAAACACACGAATTCAGCATAGGATGTTTTTCTAGCATACAAATAGCCCGGAAGGCTCAAAGCTAAACAGTGAACAGCAAAAAATCACTGTAGTTGAAGCAATTAACTAAAGCCCCACACTCCCCTTTGTTTTTCTCACCTCCTCCTCATAGAGGGTGTGGCCTCCTCACCTCTTCTTGTCTAATAATGTAAGGGCAACTGGGCATATGGAATTCAGTGTGCAGACCAGCAGGATGCGGAGACAGCCATGTGCTAGGAGTCCTAGTGTGGTGATTCCCATGCTGTGTGGGCTAAGACCACCCACTTATTCTATCTCAACGTCATTCCACAGGCAACAGGACCAAATCCATAACCACGCCTGTGGCTTTCAGTTTTACATCTGTGGTTCCCTTGGGTACATCTGAACCATTTCTCAATATCTCTGAAATTATGGTGCACTAACTGAAACAGACATTATAATAGACAATGTGTTCCCATCCAAAATAAGTTATTAAATCATCTACCAAAAGAAACAACACATTTCTAAAGTAGACTGGAAACATGATTCTAAACAGCCAAATAAAATTGTATTCTGGCATGCTTGATATGCTACCCAATTAAATCCTCTCCATTATATAGGTTAAGACCTCAAATTAATTTTTCTAGTACCACTTAACTACCATGCATCACTGCCTAAAAATATGGCAAGGCATGCTGAAAAAATGTACAAAGTAAAATATGTAAGAGGCCCCGATACCCCAACAAAATGGCCACCTACTTGTGGGTCTCCAGAGTAATCCTGAGTGAGTGCAAGTAATTTGCCACTGGATGACATCTCAACTTCTGGATTTATACATAATTTTCCTAGAAGCCACACACTGTATTGCTAATGTTATGGTGGAAAGTCTCAAAAAAAGTACTTCAGAATTGAAAATGTCTTTTGAAATCTTTATACCCTTCATACTCAATACTTTCAACACACACCCCAAGAGACTATAGTTGTATTGTTCTTTCTTTTTTACCGCTTTCAAACTAAGCCAGTGTAATCACTCTCCTTGTGTCGTATGCTTTACATACAGCTAGAAAAGCATGTTCCGGTAATATGGAAACTGAGTTGAGAGACAAGTTAATATCCAGCAACAACTACAAATTCAGCTGAGATTCTAGACAGTGAATGATTGAAATCTTATCACAGTTCAGAAAATCTTTATCCAGACTCAGATGGGAACTTCAAGGACGAACGGCAAACAAACTCATGGGAAACGCTAACAGAGACAGGACAGACTCCACTCCCAGAAGGCACATTACATAAACTCAGATACTAGACACAGCAGAGACCAAAAGACAGGGTTCACTGGGTGTCATGGAAACACTACCATGGGACACTCAAAACAAAAAACAATACAATTAGGACCTCAGCATTATCCAATTCATCAATGGAAATTTGCTGGAAAAGAAAAAAAGGGGAGAAAAAGAAAGATACGTTAGGAAAAGGAAAGACGAATGTATTCTTATGGCGCATTGCTTTACTGAAAGTACTATGGGACAGTGACCACGTTAAGTGGTTCTGGCTTTGTGGACACTGCCACAGATCACAGGGACATCTGCTCTGGAGCAAATGGGCAAGGTACTGCCATGCTTTATTCCCATGCCAGGCATCAGACCTCAGAGTCACTGAGCCCCACACTTGCTCATGGGCCTGAGAACCTCAGTCTAGCTGGAGCAAGGGCAAATTCCTCATGCAACTTTTTTTTTTTTTTTTCCAGAAGAGGGTAGGAAAGAATAGAGTAAAAGACTACTGTGAGATCAGCTCCATTTAGAAGGAAATTCTTTCTTTAGACTCATTTTATGACTTCGTGGGGCTCAGGAGCTCAAACTGCAATTGGCCTCACTCAGAACTCGCACTGACTTCCCAAGGTAGTAATATCACTAATGACTAAAGGAGGTAACATTCCTCCTGGGATGATGAGTGCAGACTTAAGGATATTAGCAACACACCATTTATGCACATCAAGTCCAATGGAAATAAAAAACACAAGAGAATTATTATAGTTAGGCTTGTTTAAAGATAGATGAATGATCCTCAAGTGATTTTTACTATGTTTCATTAGTATTTAGTGTACTTTGCAAACTGAAGTGGCTATCAGAAACAGTAGCTAAAAGTGCTAGCATGTCCTTCATTCACATAGAACAAAGAAGCTTTAGTAATTAGTGAAGAATTAACACTTTGCATAAAATGAAAACCTTAGGATTACCTGAGGTTTTGCACACACTAGTACTGAAACAGCTGCTACTGTTCAAAAGGAAAAATAGAATTTTGCATAAATTCTGGATTATCTTGTTACATTAATTCCTGGCCTCTGAATTGCTTTCCAAAACTCTAATAATTTAAGTCAACAGCAGCTTAATAAAAAACCTACTGCAAACTACAGAGTAGCCAATATATAAAATAACTGTGCTCCCTTTTTAAATGGGGCCAAAGGGCTTGAAGACTTTCTATGAGCTATAGAGACACTTAAGTTAAATTTTAGAGATGTTTAGTTATGGGAGATTTTTTTCCCCTTAAATATGGACACAGTTTCACTTGCATACTAAATGCAGAGTTTAGTAGGCAGTGCACAGCCAGTGTTAATATCCTGGGAATAATTTTAAAGTTTATTCTTTCTTTCTTTGGAGGGGGTTTGAGGTACAGTTTCACTGAATACAGTAGCCCAGGCTGGCTTTGCCCTTGCAATTCTCCAGCCTCAGTTTCCCAAGTGATGGGATTATAAACTAGTGCCAGCTTAAAGTTTATACATTTTGAAAACCCAGGACAGAAAGATGCTATAATCATCAAACAAAAATGTATTTCACCATAATTGTTAATGTTTCCCCATTTTACATTTACCACACCGAGAAGAATATGCATTGCTGATCCTTTGCATATGACAGTCATAACAGTGAAAGATGTTTTCCACTCGTAATGACAGCTAGGGTTTGAGCATCCCCCAGGTTCATGTGCTGGAGGGAGGGGCCTCAGTGTGGTGATGCATGAATGTGGCAGGCCCCAGCCACTGGGAACCCATGTTAAAAGGAATTAAGCTTGTTCTTGTAGGCCCAAGGGGGCACAAGACTAGTTGTTAAAGAGCAAGCCTGACCTCTGAGCCCCTCCCTGGCTCCCATCTCAGAATGTGATCTCTTGATCACATGCAGGGCACCATTCACCATGAGGCCCTGATGAGAGGCCAAATCCACGGGGATGCCTGATTCTGAACTTTCAGTCTCTAAAACTGGGAGCTGCTTTCTTTGTAAAGTAGCTGCCTTGAGTCTTTCATTATAGAAACAGAAAAACAGATCAACACAGTCATTAGAATTCCAATCTCGTGGCAACCTTCAATCAGCCACCGACCTGGAGCATCTGGACAGTCCCTGGACGGGCACCAAGCACTTACCACTCCCTAATCTGACTCCTCCTACGGGGCCTGATCAAAACTGCAGGTTTTTTTTTTTTTTTTTTTTTTTTTTTTTCTCCGGTACCGGGAACCGAACTCACGACCTTGCGCTTGCCAGGCAGGTGCTTTGCCGCTGAGCTAAATCCCCAGCCCCAAAACTGCAGGTTTTAGATGGCTTTGGGAAGATCAGAATTATTAAGGCTGGAGACTTCATTTGCATGAGAAGTCAGAACTGAGCTGAAGTTTAGATACTTAAATTCGGGGACATTTAGTGGTCTTGGGGCCACTGCTTCCTGTCATTTACATATGCATGTAACATAACGAAAACTTACATGTTAACTCTGTAGGTGAGCTTCAAGACACTCAGTAGGGCCAATCTGTTCACTTAAAATGCAGGGATGAAAAGCTGGTCTTTGGAGTTAGTGTCTGGGTTTGACTTACTGGCTTCCTTGTTATTCAGTAGTGTGACCCCAGGCAAGTTTCTAAACCTTTCAGAGTCTCCTCCTTTCTGTTTAAAAGTAGTTAATAAGAATAACAACGATAGCTATCTCTGAGGCTGATTGGAGATAAGGCAGGGGATGCGCTTAGTGTAGTAGCTGGCACATATCAAGAGGTCAATAAAAGTTATCACTGTTACAAAAGATATAAGAAATTAGTGGGTATATATAACAGTTAAAAAGTGTAAGTCAGTCTCACAGCAATTCTGGTGTGTTTTAGTCTGTTAAGGAGTGACAGCTCTTGAGGGTATTTTATTTTATTTTGTTTTGTTTTATTTTGTCTCAGGCAAATAGACTTATACAAGTGCTCCAACATTTTTGAGGAGGATAACAAAAAATCTTTCAATTTCTTTTTCATTAGTCACCTTGATTATATCCTAAAGTTGAATGATAAAGTAGAGAGGAGAAAACACACCTAAATCTCATCACCTGTAGGGTGATCACTTGAAAAAAAGACCAAAAACTTGGCCCCTCTGTGGTGGAAAGGGCACTACCCTGAGGTGTGGCAAACTCAGGTTCTTGTCTTGAACCCACTACAGATATTCCATGTGACCGTGCTCACTGCAGCTCTCAGCCCAGCCTCCTCGTGGGCAGGGGCAGGCTACTCCAGGTGGGCTAGTGGTCCTTCCAGACCCAAACCTATTGCTGTGAAGACTCGGGAGAGGGCAGAGAAGCAGTACGGCTCTAAACATTCCCAGAAAGGGTCAGTCATGGGACAAGTAAGAAGCAAGTGACAGGAAACTGAGCTGGGAGGAGGGGAACTGCCTGAGTAACCAGGCCAAAGAAGACCTCATGGATTTTTCAACTAAAGCCAATGGGTTTGCTTGATAAAGGTTAGTTCTTTGGCTCTGGGTAACTTCTACCCTTTAAAAAGTTGGCCTGCCCTGGGCATCAAGCTTCTTTAGTTAGACACGGACAGATAGTAAACCACTCAATATATTTTTAAAGAGCCTCTGTGGAACAAAGTTAATACCAACTGCTGGGTAGGGAGAAACAAATCCTTTAGTGACCTCCACCCCTTCTTAAGCTTCCCTTAGTGTGGATGGCAAATTAGCATTTACAACAGTCAAAGCATGGGATAAGAAGTTTCAAGTTTGTGCTGCAGATCTGGGGGCTGCTTACCAAACACGGGTTTCTAGGATGTCTTCTTCTGTTTCATGGCATTTCCATCCTTGTCTATCAGTATTTCACTTTCATAAACAGGGATGACAGACCCAACCAGCTTAAAAAGAAATATCATCTTTCTTGCCAGCCTGGCTGTTTGCTTGTGACTGATGTCTTCACCAGCTGAAAAGTGATTTGAGCCCAGCCCCAAGAACCCCTTCCAAATCCTGGTAACTTACTCTTCTGTATTACCTTCATCTATCTGTCCTGCATGGACTTAATTTTTCCATCTAGTGTCCTCTACCCACCTGGGCTGCTATCGGCCTCTCCTTCCATCCTTTTCCCTTTAATAAGAGCAAGACCTACCTAGGTTCCTATACATTGGTCTGTGTGAATAGTTCATTTCAGCATTTCTCACCTGAACCCAGGTTCTTTGCTTCTGTTGCTTATATTCATACACTTGAGCCTGATAGGTTTCCTCCACAAAATACCCACTGAGTTGTAGAAACCCATTTTCTTATTTCTTTTTGTTACCTTTGATTTTATATATTTTAAACACTTACAGTAACATTTAAAAGCTTTCTGATTTGGGGACAGTGCAGTGATGAACAGTCAGTAAGGATTAGATATTCTTTTCTTATCCAAAGACTCTCACATGTTAAGTTGCTCTAATATTAATAAAAATACTATGTAGATTAGAAAGCAAGACTCCTGCACGCTTTTATATTTGCGATGATCTGGCTGTCACCACCCATTCTGACAAGGAACACTGTGATTTGATGCCAAGGCTTCCTCCCAGAAGTCAAAGCTGAGTTACTGGGTATTTTGGTAAGTCAATGAGACTGGTGCGTGTATTCATACATACTTTCTGACAGTGGCTAGCAGACACCTAGTGAACAATACTACCTTCAAATGAAAACGAGTGAGACAGAAACTCGTGCCTCTGATCCTTTGCTGGGGGCTGAAAGGAGGCTACCGGACATGTTCTTGCCCTGCTGCCCCACACGAGGCATCAGGACCGGTCTTAGAATCTCCTTGCTCATGGCATGTACTGAGCACCATTTCACTGGGACTGTCCATTTCACAATCTCAATCAGGAACAGTGACTTGTGTGCCTGCCTGCCTTCCAGTTAGAACCGGAGGGAGTTTCTTGATGCACTGGAAAGATTGTGCAAGATCTCACCAGAAAGAACCGAGCAAACCCACAGGCATGCTTAGCTGGAACCCCAAATTCCGGACCCATATTCCGATATGCAAGAGGCATTCATTTCTTGGTAGGAATTTAAATCAGAACAGTCGTATAGCACATTAGAATACATGCTGAGCAGCCTTAAAGTCAAAGATGACTGACTATCTTTGACTTGAAGGAGACAGTCATATGACTTAGCTACCTTTAGGGAAAAGATACCTAGCTTTGGGGGAGGTTAAGCCAGTAATGCTTAAACTAAGGTGGATCTCTAAATACCCCCACCTCTTCCATGCAGAAGCAAATTTTTAATGTAAAAATACAATGTAGTACCTTTTCTCCATAGCCTCTATCTTTGGTCATCATTTCCCTGAGGGTCTGCAGGACTTTAATGCAAAGTTTCTCTTCATTCTCCTCTAGCAGCTGCTTAGTATGCTTTATTAACCTGAATAGAGGAAAATCACAGATTACAACCGTGAAATTATCTCTCAATTAGAAACACTTCATAAGCAACTTATTGTGACTAGTCAGTTAGAGAACAAATATTTATTAAGGGTTCCCAAGTTAAACACACTTTAAGGCATTCACTGTCTCAACAGCGAGCAACTGTGTCTCAATAGCGACACCTGCTGGTATTGAGTAGCCAGCACGCTCTCAGGGCAGGAGAGGCTACATACTATACAATGGGGAGATTATATACAGGGGAAACCAGACAGAAGTCCACTCATCAAGTGTGGGTATTTATCCACTGAGGACTGCTGCTAAAATATGCTAAGAATGTACCAAAACACCATGTGAGCATGGTGGTTGGGCACACACACACAGTATTCCCTTATCCACTCTTGTCTTTTCAGAAAAGTCCCAAACTCAGAGGCAACGTCTACCCCTATGCTAGACAAACAACTACCTTCAGCTTAAAAATCAAATGAAGATTTCTAGTCATGGACTCACTCGTTTCATCTGGATTATGCCCCATGGCATAAAGTAAGAAACTGCAAAACTGTGAGAAGACTGAGGTCATGATGGGTCTGAGACTTTTTAAGACTAAAGGGTTTTGTTTATACAGGACAACATGGTGGGTGTTCTGTCAAGACTCGCTGAATGGAAAACAGATGAACAGCCATGCAACTCAAATGAGAAATTCTCATCAAAACAAAAAAAGGTCATTAAGTAGAATTTAATAGACAAACTCACTTTGGAAAGGTCAGAACAGGAATCTAGCACATGACCTTGCATTCATTAAAGCTTAAAACCAGAACAATGTCTCCTCCAGGATGAAGGCTTTGTTTGGTCATTACGGTTCTGGCCACTGACCACCCCAGAGCGAGCGGCTGCTTACTTGCAAATGAAACCGCCACTTTCACATTTCTTTCTGGCATCTGTGTTCTCAGGGAAAAGCAGCTCGGGTCTGTGCAGGACATCCACAAGCACAGACAACTCCGCCTGGACCAAAGGCCTGAGCCGGTCCTCCAGCGCAGAGACGATGTCCTGGAATGGAAACACGGCATTGGTCAATGGCTCAGTGGGAGGCTGGACGCAACAGGGTGAGAATACTAATTCCTGCCCTAAAACATGATGCACAGAGTAACTCTGGTACTGTCTGGCATTTTATCTCAAATTATTAGATGTTGCCCAATGGTTACCTGAAGCACTATCTCCAAATGCAGAAAACAAAGCACAAACAAGTCAATGTCCCCACCACTTCTGAGATGGTTTTATGCTACTGAAGGGATCATTCTATATATTTTAAAATATGATGCAAAATATATATTTGACGACATGGAAAGATGTCTACAATATGAGTATAAAAATGGTCAAACAACAGTATGGACCTTACAGTGCTTTTGTATAAACAATATCCATATCTAAAGGATATATGCCAAATACTATTACAACATCACTACTGGTTTTCTCTGGGAGTAGGATTACAGACGATTCTAACATTCTTTATAAAGTGATACTTGTTGGTGTTATCTTAATTATCAATGAGCATGAATTATTTACATAATAGTCATATAAACATGAGAACACAAATGAATGAACATGCTGTATCAACATGCTAAATACATGTACCCTGATAGCATGATGGTCTTCAAATGCAAAACACATAGCTGTAGGAAAGGAAAACAGAGAAAAGTTGAAAGAGCAGCAAAACCAACACAACAAACACCATTTAAAGGCAAATGATAGAAAACAGATGAGAAATTATCTTCAAAAGATGCTAAAGCCTGCTCTATGATTTGCTGATTCAGAACTTAACTAGAAGCATGCTAAGACGGGGGCAGGACACAGCACGACCTATAATACGGAAGGGTTTGATAACTAAAGAGATTTGCATGGGAAACGTGATTAAAACTGCATTTACTTCAAATGGGAACCAAACTGGGGTCAAGAAAGAAGTGAAAGCTCTTCTATCTAGAAACTAAAATTAAACCACATGAAGACAGCTTTACCTGATTTTTAACACAATTAGGCGATCCTTGTAATTGTTCGATAATGCTTAGTGCATATAAAAAACAGATGAATCAATCAAATAATTGTGTTCTTTTAGGGGCATAACTTTCCCACTAAGATTATAAGATAACAGATTGCTATGTGAATTTCGTAACAGTCACATGACTTTCACAACAGTAAAAAGAAGGACATATCTGCAAAATGCTCAAGCGATCTTATCAATTTTCTCTCTTTGATTAGGTCCTGATCCTACCTCCAACCAATCTTTGTAGTATTTGCCTGGGACTGAAGCAGTTCTCTAAAATAACACTTACGCATTTCATGACATCTTGCATCTTTTGCAAAGTCTGAACTTGACACTGCAATTGATTTGCACTGCATTGTCAAATGCATGACATTCGGCAATCAAGGAAAGACCAACGAAGATGGAGAAGCGATGGAAAGGGGAAGATGCGAATGTTAAGCAGCGTCTAAATGGGGATTAATTATTTCAGTGGTCAGTTCGCAAGTGAGTGTTCCCATGACAGGAACTCAGGCTATAAGTAACTGCAGAATGAGGATCTTTAAGCCCCTCACCAAGCCGATATAACAAACATTACCTACTGGTATGTTCCATTTCATTTCCATGAATATACATAATATATCTAAGAAAAGCACAAGAAATTGGTCCATGTGCATATAATTTATGTACACTGAACAAGCAAGAAAAACTGTGTGTTCAGAGTTACAAGTCTATATCTTTCCTCCCGTTTGTGAAAGCACAGTGGAGTCAGGAAGCATTCCATTAGGCATCAAGGGTACCTTTGCTTAAGAACTGATTCTTCCATGACAGAAAATGAAATTCTTTACTTGGCCCATGAAGCTGCCAATTCCCCTAGCAACAAGGGCTCCAGCCCTACTGACCTTGCTGTGGTCTTTGAATGCACACTATTCTTTCCTTTCTAATGGTCTTAACACATGCTGTTTCAGAGACTCAGTTACTTTACCCAATAATAGTTATTATGATAGTCACAGCAGTAGCAAGAGTCATAATAACTATAATAATAATTATAATAGCTGCTCTGAGTTGAGTGTTCATGATACGCTAGGCACTGTTCTATGTGCTTCTTGGGTACTGATTTTTTCCAGTGACGGCCACCACATTACATCTTCTCTTACATGTGCTTCTTACAATGTGACAACGATGATTTCCCTCCCATTGGAGACGGGTCTGTGTTTGGTCCCCTGAAATTAAGTAGGCTTCTGGGACCGCCTTGCCAATGCAGTAGGGCAGAATGAATGCAGCATGACCTCTGAAAGCTCGGTCAGGAAGGAGATACACCTTCCACTGGTCCTACCCTAGAAATGCTCATCATAGGCCCCGCCTGTTGTGTTAGGAGAAAGCTCAAGCCACAGCAGGAAGCTGCCTGTAGAGGTTTCAATCAAGAATCCCAGCTGACAACCACCCATCCTCAAAGAGGTGGGTTAACAGGTTCAGAGTGAGTCCAGCTACAGCCACCATCTAACTGCAACCTCATGAAGACCCCAGCAAACACTGCTTGGCTCAGACAGTCTTTGGAACAGTGAAAGAAAAGAAAGTAGCTGCTGTAATCTGTTTCCCAAGATACAGATAGCTGGAACATGTTATCAAATCTCTTAAAGCTCACAACAACCTCATAAGGTAGGTGTTATATCATCCTATTCTACAGTTAGGAGGCTGAGGCACAGAGAGGTCAAGCAATTCCCCCAAGATTGTAACTCCTCTTGGCAGTAGAGGCAGAACATGAACCCAGGCAGTGACTTGAGTTCACCTTCTGACAACACAAGAGTGACTCTGCTGTTGGTGCTAGGTAAAAAGGGAGTATATTCTAGCCACACTCTTAATTTCATTTGGGCCAGTCTGATATAAAATTATTCTTTCAGGGATCACTACACTTGATTCCAGAGCCTAAACATCCCCAAGTGATGGGAAAATGGATCTTTATGCCCTTATCGTAAGCATTCTCTTTGTAACACTTAAATTTCCTCCCCAGTAAGAAAGAGCAGAGTCCCCACTGTTCACAAAGAAAGCTACAGGTCTATGCCTAACCTTTCAAGGCCATGACCTGTCAGGAACTGTTGTCTTTCTAAGGAGTTCTGTACTCCAGGGTCCCATATCCATTAGAACATGTGCCTATCCATTCCCCTCACTGACCTCTCTCTCTGTGGCAAAGCATGAATGTCCCTGGCTGTGTTTGGAAACCAGATTGAGCACTACTTCTCCCACACCAGGGATTACCTGCAGTCTCTCGATGATATTCCGGTAGTCTCTGGAAGCTGCTAGAACAGAGTCCCTGCGAGCAGCATTGCGAGCTGACAGCCGCCAGTTCATGGCTGTTTTCTGCACAATATTGTGGGACTTCAGAAAGAGGTTGTTGACTTGGCTGTCCAGGTCCACAGGAATGGCGATAGCCCGGCTCTTGGCTACACAGGAGACATTTGACTTGTGAGGTTATAACTTCTGTGAGATGCTTTAGGGATAGACTTAAGTACCTGTCACCCAGCAGGCAGAGTTTTCCATGTTGACAACATGCCAGCTTACATAATAGTGAGTGCAAAGACCAAGGAGCTGAATTCAACTTTACCACCTTTTAGGTAATGGCTTCCTAAGAGAAATTCTGGAGGAAATAGCTCTGAACATCAGGGAAATGCAGTCAGGTCATAAAGTTTAGGCAAGTCAGAGTGACAGCTCAACACGTTTCCTCAATGAATAGCTTCTTAGAGATGCTGATGTGGTTACATATGCTGTGATTTATTAAGACAGGGAACTCATCTGGACAATGAACTGTTTTTCTAAAAGTTCTCTTTCAAGTTTGTTGTTCTATACAACAATCTACAAAATTCTGATTTCAACCAAACACACTTCATGATAACATTCACAAAAATGTAAACTGTTCTTTATATAACAGGTCTTCTTTTCCTTACTTAAAAAAAAACAAATTAGAGTCTGTCTGATCATACGAAAAACACCAAGTCAAGTCCATGACAGAGGACATTACGGCACTGATGGTGAATCTATGGTAGTCATGTTATTTTTCTAACAAAAATGTTAATATATGAGTTGTTTCTAAACAAAAACCTAGCATTCAGGTTTAGTGGGAGCACTGGCACTGTGCCATAAACGTGTTTGGGATTGCCGTTTGCGCACTTGTCTCTGGAAGGCTGACCATCGCTGCTCTGCAGCATGCCTGATAAGTACCTATCAAGATGGCCAAGGTCATGAGAAACAAAGGAAGACTATGAACTGTTGTAGACTAGAGTAGACCGGAAACACATGAGAACAGAGTGCAATGTGGCAGACAGGACTGCATCCTGGCACACACAGTGGCTATCTGCAGAAAATCTGGTGACATCCAAATCAAGCCTGGAATTTAACTAATAGTAAGGTGCAAGTTTTGTTTTTTTTTGTCTTGATAAATGCACTTTCCTAATGCAAGATGCTGATAGTGAGAACTGAGAGTGAGTAAGTAAGAACTCCTTGTATCATCTCTGCAACTTTCCTATAAATCCAAATTATTCCTAAATAAAATATTTATTTAAAAAAGCAAGCTAAGCCAGGCTGGTGGTACATGCTTTTCATACCAGCATTTTGGGAAGCTGAGGCAGGGGGATCAGAAATTCAAGCCCAGCCTGGGCAACTTAGCACAATCTTGTCTTAAAATAAAAAATAAAATGGGCTGTGGATATAGCTCAGTGTTCAGAAAAAAGCTAAGATTGACAATCCTTGTTTGTATGTGGGGAAACCTCTGAAAACCTAAATAATTATCATCAGGGTTTCAAAACACTGCAAATAAGGACAGTGCTCTATTTCTTGTATCTGCTGTTAAGAAAAAAAAAAAAAAAAAAAAAAAACTCAAAAAAAAGAAAAGAAATAGGAAAACTAATTATTTAAATCCTAATTAG